GTTGGCACAGGTGGCATGCATGCACCTTAGCCTCAATATCCTTATCTAAAACAGGCCACCACAAGTGGCTGCATGCAAGAGCCTTCATACGAACAATGCCAGGATGACCCTCGTGGAGGGATTCTAAGACCCTAGTCCTCATTGAGGAGGGAATGACAACTCTGTTTCCCCAAAGCAGACAACCCTGAGAAAGGGACAACTCGTTTCTTTTGGACCAGAAACTCTGAAACTCAGGACTAGGGCAGTGCTCAGGCCAACCGGACAAAACCCAGGAACGGACACGTGAAAGTGTGTGATCTGTACCTGTTTCAGCGGCAACATCCCTGGCACAAAGAGGGAGCTCGGGCAAGGCTTGGATTGATAGAATGTTGACAGCTGGCGCAGGGTCAGCTTCTACTACTGGCAGAGGCAATCTACTGAGGCCATCAGCATGGCCCATTTCTTTCCCAGGCTTGTGGAGTAAAGAAAAATCATATGCAGACAGAAAAATAGACCACCTAAGCATTCTAGGGGAAATGATTTGGGGAGTCTGCTTACGTGTGGTAAACAGTCCCAGCAGAGGCTTATGGTCAGTAAAGACCGTGAAATGCCTGCCATAGAGAAAATCGTGGAATTTTTTAATTCCAGCGACAACAGCCAGAGCCTCCCTGTCTATCTGAGCGTAGTTGCGCTCAGCAGAAGACAATGTTCTGGAGTAATATGCAACAGGAACCTGAGTTCCATCAGACCTGAGGTGGCTCAGGACAGCTCCTACCCCGTAAGGGGACGCATCACATGCGATGCACACAGGAAGAGATTCGTTGAAATGTGCAAGTACACTGTTAGAAGTGAGCAAGGCCTTGACTTTGTTAAAGCAAGCCTCATGTGTATGTGACCACTGCCACACTGCTTGTTTGTCTAGTAGCCTGTGAAGAGGCTCAGCTACACTAGCTTTATGTGGAAGAAAAGAATTGTAGAAATTCAGGAGGCCCAGGAAGGCCTGAAGTTCGGCCTTGGACTTTGGCCTAGGTGCTTCTAAAATAGCTGTCAGTTTGGATTCAGCAGGGTGAATCCCAGCAGCATCAATTTTGAACCCCAGAAATTCAGTAGAAGGCACCCCAATCTGGCATTTGTCTTTTTTGAGCTTGAGGCCTGACTTCCTGAATCTTAACAGAACAGCCCTTAGCCTTTCAGCTAGAATGTGTGTGGAGTCTCCTGCAATTAAGACATCATCAAAGTAGGGGCAAACCCCTGGTATACCCCGTAGTGTGTTTTCCATTACGCTTTGGAAAATCCCAGGAGCGACATTCACTCCAAACTGCAGCCTTTTTACCTTAAAGGCTCCCCTGTGGGTCACAATAGTCTGAGCTATAGCAGCATCATCATCAACAGGCAGCTGTTGATACGCTTGAGCTAGGTCAAGCTTTGCAAAAACGCGCCCCCCCTTGAGGGAAGCCAGAATATGACTGACCACAGGAACAGGATAGGCATGTTGCTGCAATGCCTTATTCAGAGTGCATTTGTAGTCAGCACAAATGCGAATGTCCCCATTTGCCTTTAGAGGCGTGACAATGGGGGTCTCCCAAGGACTGGAATCAACAGGTTCTAGGATTCCCTGTTGAATCAGTTTGTCTAACTCAGTGTCAATTTTACTCTTTAAAGCAAAAGGGACCCTTCTTGCTTTAATTCTAATGGGAGTGACAGTGGGGTCTAGCTTTAAGGACACAGGGGGTCCTTTGAATGTGCCCAGCTGGGGGCTGAAAACATCTGCAAATTCTTTGCAGACTTCCTGTAGGTCGAGTGTTTGTAAACTGTTGAGTCCTGTGACGTGTATCCCCAGGGCCTCAAACCAATCGAGTCCTATGAGACTCGTTCGTTCACCCCCTACTACTAATAAGTCTAGTGGACCTTCAAAACTCTTGTATTGCACGTTAAGGGTGGCCTCCCCCTTAACACACACTCTTGAATTTTGAAAATCTGTTAACACAATGTCAGAAGGCCTTAACTTGGCCTGAGTTCCACTACCGGAACAAATCTTCCTAAATGTATGCAAGGAGATAATTGAAAAGGCAGACCCTGTGTCTAGTTCCATAGATAATGGAACCCCTTGTAGCTTCACCTTGAGTGACAGCTTTTTCTTAATGGCTTGTGTGTGCCTGTCCTAAGGATGCTTCTTCGCGAAGCGCAAAACCCTACCCTATTCTGGCTGGGGAATCTGGTACCTTTCAGGCGCGGTTCTTCCTGAGGTTGTACCTTTCGTCGGCCCAGACACACAGCTGCAATGTGTCCTTGTTTGCCGCATGCCCGGCAGGTAGCGGAGCGGAACTTGCAGTCGGTTCTCCTGTGGCGACCTCCACAGCCGATGCACTTGAACGGAGCTGAAGAGCTTCCCTTCTGTTTTTCTTCCGTCGTGGGGTGGAGACGGTCGACTTCCTCGTCCGGATCCTCCTCGGAGTTCCTTTGGGCGTCTTCCTGGTGCACGGATGCAAACTCTGGACTGTTTCTGATCGGCCGCATGTTCTTGATAGCGCCGCCTGCTGCTTCTTCTGCGGTGACTTCCCTTAAGGCATCTTGGTAGGACAGTTCTTCTTTAGCGAAAAGTCTCTGTTGTAGATCTCGATGCCTTAACCCGCACACGAATCGCTCCCTCAGTCGTTCTCGTTCTTCGAGGTCTTTGAACTCGCAGTGCTTGGCGGCCTTCCTTAATGCGGCGATGAATTCTTTGGCCGACTCGCCAGGCCGTTGATCCCTCTGCTCGAAGGTGTGGCGCCATGCGATGACGGACATCTTGGGGTGGAAGTGCTCTTTCAGTAGCTTCTTCAGATCTGCGTAGCTGACAGACTCTACTGGAACAGGTGCTGCAAGGTTTTCTGCGATGTCGAAGGTGTCTTGACCGCAAACACAAAGCAGGGTGGCAGCCTTCAAGCTCTCTTCCCTCACTTGTTTGCCTTGAAGTAGTTCTCCACCCTGGCTACGTAGGACTCCCACCGCTCTGGATGTGAGACGTCGAATTCCGAAAGCCTTCCGATTTTCGCCATCTTCAAATCTTCAGGAGACGGGTCTATCAGCCAGCCTACCCCCGAATGCGCACCGGATTGGCGGGCAGCTGCCGAGTCGACGCCGTTCCTTTCCGCCGCTCAGGACTCCTTGGGTAAGCTTACACTTCTTCCTTTCCAGGTAGTGCAAGGCATCCCACCTTCGTCGCCAGTGTTGAGTCCTTGGCGGGAAGCAGACACGAGAAGCAGTTGAAGTTCTCAGTTTCCTTTATTCAGCGTTCAGCTTACAAGTAGATGGCTTCAGCAGCTCCCCAAACCTCCCAGCTTCTTATATAGACGCTTCCCGGGTAAATGTGTTACTTTTCCCGCGCCAGCACCCGCGCATGCGCACGGCACTGGCGACAGCCTGTCTGGTCCCGGGCAGCTTTGCACCTGCCCGGGACTGCCTGCAAACGCCCGAGCCGTTTGCAAGGCTCGGGACATAACACCCATCATGAGCAACCTGGGTAAGGAGAGCAAGCACAGCAGCAGGAGCCTTGAGGAGGAGGTAAGTGCAGCTGGGTGCCCCCTTGGGGAAGTGGGTCTGGGCTTGGTGCCGTGGGTGCTCGAGGACCAGGCTGGGCATTTGACGTCTGCTGCCCAGGGCTCTGGGCAGCCCGCACCACCATCCAGCCCCCCCCCCACATGGCCTGAGAGGAACAGTGAGGCTCCTCCAGTGGACCATGCCTTGGCACTTGCCCTGGTACCACCCCCTTCTGCCAGAGACCTTCAGATCGGTCCCACTCCTGCCCAAGCCCCCACAGGCAGCTTTGATATGAACGATGTAGGCCATGCCCACTCAGTAGACCACACCCACTCCATCCATGCCCACCCTGGCCACACCCACCCAGCTTCCCAAGGGCAACCGCAATGCTGATGCGACTCTCAGTAAAATTGAGTTTGACATCTCTGATCTAGGGTGTTGGCTATTCCTGCCAGCTTAGTATCATCTGCAAATTTGATAAGTTCCCCTTCTATTCAAGTTCCCCTTCTATTCCCTCATCTAAGTCACTTATGAAGATGTTGAAGAGTACTGGGTCTAGGACAGAACTTTGTGGTACCCCACTGCTTACTTCCTTCTATGTAGATATAGTACCATTAAGGACTACTTGTTGAATATGGTTTGTCAGCCAGTTAAAAAAACAATCTGATATCCCATTTTTTTTTAGCTTTCCAAGAAGTAGGTTGTCTTGCTGAAGTCTAAGTATACTATGTCCACAGCATTTTGCTGGTCTACTGATTTAGTTACTTGGTCAAAGAATGAAATAAAATTGGTTTGGCATGATCTGTTTTTGACAAACCCATGTTGGTTTCTAGTTATAACTTTGTTTGTTTCTAGATATTCGCAGATCTGGTTTTTGATTATCTTTTCCAGTATCTTCCCAGGTATTGATGTTAGGCTGATTGGTCTGTAGCTTCCTGAATCTGTTTGTTTGTTTTTTGTTTTTTTTGTTTTTTTTGAAGATGGGAACCACATCAGCTCTTTTTCAATCCTCTGGTGCTCCAGGGTTTTTGAAATATATGGTACAGTGGTTCTGAGATGACATTTTATTTTAACTTTTATTTCTAGTCTGTTTTTTTCAGTTATGTTTTTGGTAGATTGGGCTATAATTTCTTTTTGCGTGAAGACCAATGCAATAAATGAATTAAGCAGTTTTGCTTTCTCTCTGCTGCCCGTTACTTCCTTGCCATCTTCTCTCTTTAGTAGACCATTTGTTTCCTTGATTTTTTTCCTTGTTATTTATATGTTGAAAGAAACTTTTTAAATTACCTTTGATTTTGTTTTAAGTCTTTGTTCATTCTGAGCCTTTGCTTTCCTGACTTCTTCTTTGCAGATTCTGGCTATCTGCTGATATTCTGCCTTAGTTATGTATTTCTCTTTCTATTTTTTGCACTTACGCTTTTTGTCTTTCAGTTTATCAGAGAGATCTTTGTGCATCCATACTGGTTTTTTGTTAGATTTTTTGTTTTTCTTTTTCAGTGGTATTGTGCTGGATTGGGCTTTTAGGATCATATTTTTCAGAGTTTCCCAAGCTTCTTGAGTTGTTTTCCCCTTCAGGATTTTCATACAAGGAATCTTTCCCAAGTTATCTCTGAGTTTGTTAAAATCAGCACTTTTAAAATCTAAGACTCTGGTATCATTATGTTCTATTGCTTGTGCTTGGATTATATTGCGTTCCAGTATGACATGATCACTCTCACCCGAGGTTCCTGCAGTTTCAACTCCCTCTATCACTTCTTCTCTGTTTGTGAGAATTAGGTCCAGTATGGCTGTTCCTCTAGTTGCCTCCTCTACCTTTGTTACTGTATGGAAGAAAGAGGAGAAGGAAGTTATTTATTTATATCCCACCTTTATTGTTTTTCCCAATAAGACAATGAGCTCATTTTTCTGCCTTGAGTTACATATAAAGCAATAAAAGTGAGATAAACATCTTTTAAAAAATCTAATAAATGATGGAAGCTCCAATTGCATGGTTGATAATGCATTGCTTTTTTATTGAAAAGTTTTATACAATATACATCCCAAGACCCACCCACCCCAACCCCCCTACCCCACTTCCCAGAGCTGAATACAAGGTTACAAATAAACAATCAAACTCTAAACAAAAAACATTACCCAACTATACAAGTAACCAAATCCATAACACACTTTAACTCCCTTATAACATAAATATAAACAAATTAAAAATAAACATAACAATATAAACAAATCAATATAGTTAAACCATAATAATACTCTAAAGTTTACTCATAAGATAAATGAAACTTTTTAATCCCATATTTATTCTGAATATAATCTATCCATCTTCTCCAAACCAAAATGAATCTTTCTTGTGAGTGATCCTTCAAGTAAGCAGAAATTTTTGCTATTTCTGCTAAATTTGACACCTTAAGCATCCAATCTTCTAGGCAAAGATTCTTTCTTCCAATATTGCCCTACTAATAACCTTGCAGCTGTTATAAAATTCAACGTCAAAATCGTTTCTTTAGCATCACAATCTACAATAACACCCAACAAAAATAGTTGTGGCGTGAACTTTATCTTTCTTTTAAAAATCTTTTGAATGTTCCACCAAATCTTAATTCAAAAAGCTTTTATATTTCTACAAATCCACCAAATATGAAAATAGGTTGCATCCAAGCTACTACATCTCCAGCATTTGGGTTGTAAATCGGAATACATACAAGACAGCTTTTTGGGATCCAAATGCCACCTAGAAAACATTTTATAAAAATTTTCTCTTAAATTTTGAGCCTGAGTAAATGTTACATTTCTAACCCAAATTACCTCCCATATATCCAATGAAATCGGTTCTTGAATATTTTGAGCCCATTTTATCATACAATCTTTAACTAAATCCATTTCAGAGTCCAATTCTATTAAAACATTATAAATTCTCTTTATGTGGGCTCAATTTGAATCTTTAATTTGTTTTACCAAATTCTCATCCGCTAAAGTAATACCAACTTTTTGATCTAAGCTCCACCTAACCAACAATTGGTTATACTGAAACCAAGACTATACAATATTTTCCTGCTTTAACTCAACTAAAGATTTTAATTGCCAATCCTTCCCTACCAATCTAAGTAATTCCTTATAAGAAATCCTATCCAAGTTCACACCCCTAGATACCCCCTCTATCGTGTGTCCAGGAATCCCCCAAATTGGTATTTTATAATTTAACCTATAATAATACTTCTTCCTTAGATGAGATTAAATGTAAGGAAAAGATTTTATTATCAAATCCAATGGATAATAATTTGAAAGCTTCTATAACTCTGATTAAGGAACAATTTAATATGTTAATAGCAGATCAGATGGCAATTAATTTGAGGTACATGAAGTATAATACATTTTGTAATGCAAATAAACCTGGTAGATGGTTGGCTTATCAATTACATAAGAAGCAGAAATCAAGGATTATAAACAAAATATGTTATAAAGGCAAAGAGGTGTATCAACAAAATTTGATTAAAAGGGCTTTTTTAGATTTTTATTCTAAGTTATATACTAGTGAAGCCATACAAATCTCAGATGTAGAAAATTATTTACAACAAGCCAATTTTCCCAGACTTATGACTGATCAGCGTGATGGAATTAATGCTGCAATTACTGCTGAAGAGATTACCTTTGCAATTAAACAATTAAAAGTTGGTAAGACGCCAGGTACTGATGGATTAACTGCAATTTATTACAAGATGCTATTGGAGGAAATGATAGAACCATTGAAGGAACTTTTTAATGACATTTTGTTGGGAGCAGAGTTACCTCCATCCTGGAAAAGGGCCTTCATATCATTGATTCCAAAGGATGATCAGGACTTGTCCCAGCCTAGAAATTATAGGCCTATATCTTTGTTAAATACGGACTATAAGATTTTTGCAAAGATTTTGGCAAATAGATTAATGCAGGTTTTGAAACAACTGATTCATACTGATCAATCGGGATTTATAACGGGAAGATACATGAAAAATAATGTAAGACAATTGGTTAATATAATAGAATATTTGGATAAGAATAATCAAATTTCTGCTGCCTTAATATTTATAGAAGCGGAGAAAGCTTTTGATCAATTAGATTGGAAATTTTTATTGAAAGTGGTAGAGGAAATGAATTTTGGAGATAAATTTTTGTGTGCTCTTAAAGCTGTATATCAGCAACAATCAGCACAAATTATAATTAATGGGGGATTAACAGAGCAATTTAAAATAGAAAAAGGTACTAGGCAAGGTTGTCCTTTATCCCCTTTGTTATTTGTATTAACTATGGAAATCTTACTTATTAAAATTCGAGAATCCTCTAGATTAAAAGGAATAAAAATAAATAAGATTGATTATAGGTTGAAAGCTTTTGCTGATGATTTGGTGGTAACATTATCTTATCCAATAGATTCAGTTAATGAATTGGTTGAAATTTTAGTGCAGTATGGACAAGTCTCTGGTTTTTAAGGTGAATAAGAATAAAACTAAAATTTTATTTAAAAATGTGTCTATGAAGGGAAAAGATACTATAGCTGAAGCAGCAGGTTATGATGTAGTTAATAAGGTTAAGTATTTAGGAGTATATATCACAACATCTAATGGGAAATTATATAAGAATAATTATGAACAATTGTGGATAAAGGTACAAAAAGACCTAAATGACTGCCAAAAACTACAATTATCTTTGTTCGGGAGAATTTCAGTAGTAAAGATGAATGTTCTACCAAAGTTTCTTTTTTTATTTCAGATGTTATCCATTTTGAAAAAGGATGCAAATTTGGAAGAGTGGCAGAAGGGTATCAATAAATTTATATGGGGTGGCAAGAAACCAAGGGTTAAGTTTAAGATTTTACAAGATGCTAGAGAAAGGGGTGGACTTAAAGCACCTAATCTGAAATTATATTATGATGCGGCTGTTATGTCCTGAGCATGTGCAAGCAGGCTCGGGGCACTGCAAACGGTTCCGGGCAGGTGCAAGTTGCTCGGGACCAGACAGGCTGTCGCCAGTACTTGTGCGCATGCAAAAGTGCTGGTGCGCCAAAAGTTGCAGATTGACCCGGGAATGGCCTATATAAGAAGCCAAGAGTTTTGGGCGTTGTCAGCGTCTTGTACTTTGTATGCTGAACTGAATAAAGAAGTTTCCTGAGAACTACAACTGTTTCTCATGTCTTGCCATTTCGCGAAGGACGCAACACTGGCGACGAAGGTGGGATGCCTTACATCGACAGAAGAAAGGTGTAAGCTTACCCGAGTGAGTCCTGAGCGGCAGGAACGGCGTTGACTCGGCAGCTACCCGCCAATCCAGCAAGTATCAGGGGTAGGCTGGCTGATAGACCCTTCCTTTCTACAAAATGGCAAAAATTGGAAGGCTTTCGGAATTCGATGTCTCACATCTGGAGAGGTGGGAGTCCTACGCAGCCAGGGTGGAAAACTATCTCAAGATAAATCAAGTAAGGGAAGATAGTTTAAAGGCTGCCACCCTGCTGTGCGTTTGCGGTCAAGACGCATTCGAAATCGCTGAGAACATTGCAGCACCTGTTCCTCTAGACTCTGTCAGCTACGCAGATCTAAAAAAGCTACTAAAGGAGCACTTCCAGCCCAAGTTGTCCGTTATCGCATGGCACCACACCTTCAAACAGAGGGATCAACGACCCGGAGAATCGGCCAAAGAATACATTGCCGCGCTGAGAAAAGCCGCTAAACACTGCGAGTTCAAGGATCTTGAAGAACGACTGAGAGACAGATTTGTATGCGGACTAAGGCATAGAGAGATACAGCAGAGACTTTTTGCCAAAGAAGACTTATCATTCCAAGATGCCTTGAGAGAGGTCACTGCAGAAGAAGCAGCGGGTGGCGCCATCAAGAACATGTGGCCGATCAGAAGCATTCCAGATGCTGCGTCCGTACACCAGGAAGGAGTCCAAAGGTACTCTGAGGAGGATCCTGACGATGAAGTGGACCGTCTCTACCCCACGAAGGAAGGGAAACAGAAAGGAAGTTCTTCAGCTCTCCCCAAGTGCCTCGGTTGTGGAGGTCGCCACAAGAGAACCGACTGCAAGTTCCGCTCCGCTATCTGCAGAGCATGCAGAAAACAAGGACACATTGCAGCTGTGTGCCTGGGCCGTCAGAAGATACAACCTCAGGAAGAATTGCGCCTGAAAGGTACCAGGGTTCCCAGCCAAAATAGGGTGGGGTTTTGCGCTTCGCGAAGGAGCATCTATAGGACAGGCACACACAAGCCCATTAAGAAAAAACTGTCACTTAAGGTGAAGCTACAAGGGGTTCCATTGGCTATGGAACTGGATACGGGGTCTGCACTCTCAATCATTTCCATGCAAACGTTTAGGAAGATTTGTTCCGGTAGTGGAACTCAGGCCAAGCTGAGGCCTTCTGACATTGTGTTAACAGACTTTCAAAACTCCAGAGTGTGTGATAAGGGGGAGGCCACCCTTAACGTACAGTATAAGGATTTTGAAGGTCCACTAGATCTAATAGTAGTAGGGGGTGAACGAACGAGTCTCATAGGACTCAATTGGTTTGAGGCCTTGGGAATACACTTGACCTACAAGAAGTCTGCAAAGAATTTGCAGATGTTTTCAGCCCCCAGCTGGGCACATACAAAGGACTCCCTGTGTCATTAAAACTAGACCCCACTGTCACTCCCATTAGAATTAAAGCAAGAAGGGTCCCTTTTGCTTTAAAAAGTAAAATTGACACTGAGTTGGACAAACTGATTCAGCAAGGAGTTCTAGAACCTGTTGACTCCAGTCCCTGGGAAACCCCCATTGTCACGCCTCTCAAGGCAAATGGGGACATTCGCA